AGTCAAATTCTTTATCCAATTTTCATTAATGTTACATTTGTTTGTTCTGCCATGTTTCTTTGCTAAAAGTTTTTCTAGTTAATTTTTTTGTTTTGTTTTAATCTTGTTGAACACAGTTTCATATTTTTGTTCTTGTTGTTGATAAAACACTTTTATTTTATTTTGATGGCATGTTTTCTGTTGTAAGGATATTTTAACATTATTAATGTCTTTGTTAATTTCATTCAGTTTGGAACAAGAATCGCTCAGTATTATATTAAAAAAAAAATAATTGATAAATAGAGACAATAAATGGACTGAAACCCAGGAATTAATTTTGATTTGGAATTGAAACACAGTCAGGAAAGTATGTACAATCTAAAAATTCTAGCATATTTTTTATTGATCTCATTCGCTCTGATGAATATTATTTAGAATTCGAGGCATTTTAAAAGACTTGCATTTTTTTCGAAAATAGACCACCACTATTGTGAAAATTTCGATCGAAAATCAAAATTTTGTAAGCGTGTTTTTAGCGCTCATCGAAATGTTTTATACGTAATGAGCTCCCTAATATGCATATGAATATCTTTTGGGTCTATAATAACGATGATATAATCGTTTCTAAGTCGTGACCGCGCAAAAACAACTCACTTGGACAGAAAATTTCGATTATTTCGCATGTGAAGATTGCAACATGTTTTTTAAAAAGCTCGCTGAATTTCTCACTTCCGTCGAAGAAGCGATTTAAAAATATATCTTTATTTCTTATGCCACCCCAAGCCTGTCAAAAATTTAACTTTTTTCAATCCCTTTTGTTGACTAGTATTTCGAAACATTCTCGACGAAATTTTCCCAACTTACACGTGCAGTGTGTTTCAATTATTTTGACACCATCGGGGATAAAATAAATATTCCAAGCAAATTCAACTGACGATCTTGTATTAGATTTTTTTCGAGCTCAATTCATTTACATTCTTAACTCAAATTCCTCTTCTACCAAACGCCAGTCAGCCTCAACAGAGGAAAAACTTTATTAAAGCTAATGGCAATTATCTTTTTAGGGCAGATTCCACTCTAAACCGAATCGAAATCGGTTTTGTCTCCTGGCCGATGGTACGATACAAAAGGGAGGTCCTTTTTGGATGGGTGGATTTGCTAGGTAAACGTAACGTATTTCTATTGCTATTCAAAAAAGGCGATAACTACAGCGTCGGCATATAAAAAATTCTAGTGTCTTTTGGAGGAATAGCCGGCTTGTTTCTCGGCTTCAGTCTACTATCCGGAGTGGAAATTCTCTATTATTTCACCATAAGAGCATGCATTGCCTCTTGGAGGGAGCGGCGTTATTTAGACAGGTAATGGAAACTCATATGTACCAATCCCGAGCAAACTGGCATATTTACATATGCACTATTGTTTGAGTTGTTAGAATGCGAAAGGAGAAGCGAGAAAAACCGCAGCCCATGCACGATCTGAGCCTGATTCCCTATTTCGTATCCAGGCCTCTGCCTGGAAACGGTATCGACATTGTGGCTTCCAGGCTCGTGAAGAGGAATGCAATTTATCCCGGCAAAAATAAGTTGCACAATACTAATGTGAGTAGGAAAGTCCAGCCATTTTTTTTTTGATTCAGACGAATGTATTTGTTTCAGCCAATCATGATATCAATGATGCCGCCGTTTGGCATCGAATTTCTGCACTAACTTAAACTGAATTAATTTGCGGGAATTCAAATAAAACATTTGCATTTTATATATTCAATATATTTCTCTTTATAGAACGCGAAGTTCGGTTGATTTTTTGTGTATTAAAATATACGCATCATCTATCATATTGCCCGTAAACATTGAATATGTTTGGGGCCGCAGATAAATATTTCCATTTATTAATGACTACAAACAATCACAGAGAAAAATACACATCTAAAGTAAAATAAATAAAAATTATTCTAAACACATATTTTCGTAAACGATAAAACCGCCATGTGTATTTTCAATTTACCTGTACAACAACAACAAGAAAATCTCTAAAATAAATACGACTGCTTCGTATATTATGCTTTTAATACATATCACGTTTATATAGAAAAAATACATATTTGTACAACTTTATACTACGCTATAGGAACATGATTACCCCAGTACCTCAGACTGGGAATGTTCCATAGAATATATGGAAACCGATTAGCCTACTTACACACTAACTGCCATCTTATCTCAAATTTCCCCCCTACCAGGGCCATGGCACTAAACTAACAATTCCTCTGTCTCCCAATAAATTAATATATTTACATCTCGCGCTTACCGCGTAATATCTTACTAATTCATCAGCCACATGAGGTAGGTGGTAAGCTGACAAGGCACTAGTTGCTCATTTCGCAAGTCTACATCTCCGGGAGCATTCCAATACTTTTGCCTACCCAGTTAAGAGTAGAGAAGCCACAAAACATCCTTCATCAAACCCTCAGCTTGAGTTCCTCAACTCTACTCATTTATCGGTTGCATTCGGATTGGTGTAGCTGAATCCTTGAAACTGGGTTTGATCCATCGATTGCAAAATGCCCGTCTCGATTGGTGTCAGCTTCGCCTTCTCAATCGTGAAGGTTTTGTCAAAGTATTGAGTATCAAGAGGATGTTGCTGAAATACACAGCATTATTAGAATTTCACGTAAAATAGGATGTAGATGTACAGAAACCACTAAGGATCAAGTGAAACTGATCATGCAAGCCTCGAAAGGTACACGCCCGGATTAAAACTTGTTTTCTTCTACAATAACCGCAGTTTTGACCCGTCTGGAGTGTGTCGGCCACAAAACGTACATGCCTAGATTAAAACTCCCATTTTCCTACAAATATGGAATACATTTCCCTACTCTTCCCGTCTGGAGAAGCAAAACGTCTATGCCTCAACATGTGTGTGACGGTATTCAAATTTCTCTCTTTCTTCAAAAACCCCAAAATTTCAACCCACGTGGAGAAATAAAACGGAGAATTATGTCCGGATTAAAACTGCTTCTTTTCTCCAAAAATAGGTAAACTTTCGACCCTTTACCGTGTGGAAAACCAAAACGTACGCTTTGACGTGAGACTAGACTAGAAAACTCCTTATTTTCTTAGAAAATCAGCAAAGTTTCAACTCAATATTGCGTCTAGAAGTGCATGCTGACCGAAACCCTTATTTTTCGTTCGTACAAAGGCACAAAAATGTACTTTAAATCCAGCCTTAAGCATTTTGTGGTCTACACGCTCCGTTTTACACCTGCAAACTTCAAAATTTTTTCCAGCTCCTCAACGAAGCATCATAACTTTTCTTATCAAGACATTTTTTGCTTTTGAATATTGCGATTAATAAGGAATGAACACCCTGTAAAAACTGGACCAATCTCCTTCCGGAACCGAATGTAATCCCTTCCTCTAACACTAAACCCTCTTTGTCCAATTCCATTGAAAGCCACCCTAATTTATTATTAAGTCGATTGTCTGGCCGGAACAGAAGAACCAAATGGAATGCAAACCAAAACCCAATCGAGCCCGATATCGTTCATATAGCCAATATCCGACTACTACTTAGAAATGCAATCAATCACCCCCTTATCTCTCAAATAGCTCTAACAAATATCGGAGCACAAAAAGTAATCTCCAAGGTGATAAATTGGGGTAAAGCTCTGTTTTTCTACGCTAATTGACTATTGATTCCCTTTGGAATTCGGCGATTTTGCGACTAAATTTTCCCTTGGAAAAAATTGAAAAGAAATGATCTGCCACATGCGGTTGACTTGTGGTAATTTTATGCGCACAGAATCCAGATTGGGCAATGTTGTTCGCAAATGGATGAATTCCAATGTGAAAACCCTATAAATATTTAAAGCCGCACGCTTTCCGGAATAAATCTTCCAACTAATAACAGGAATGATATTACATGTCTGACTTAGAAATCGGCTACTTTTTCTCCTGCTAAGTGGCTCATATAAACAACCCAAAAACGGTTCAATATATATGTTTCCCAAAAACCGGTGTTAATCATTCGAAGTGCACGCTCCGAACACAATCCGCTTCGAAAACAGGGTTGGAAACAAGCGGCTAATTTTTTTTAATGGGTTTTATAGAAATTTACAGCTGACAATTATATTTTAGATTTTAGAGCATCCTGAACTTTTTATCGAGAATATTTTTGTCCTAATTGTAACAATTACAAATAGTTCCAAATAGATCCAACTTCGGAAAACCTACTGTATAAAGAAACACACAAATAGAAGGCGATAAGCCACTCCAGCACTCAATCCGATCATTCTAAACCCAACCACATTAATTGGCAATTTCTCATCAAAACCATATCCAAGCTCGAAGAAAACTCATCAACAGTACAGCTTTATATGGCCCGATCTCGATCAATATTCTCGAAGTTGGCGCAAAAAATATGACGCTCTTAAAATCAATGGGGTCTGGAAAGGCACATCCCGCCTGACGTTAACTAGTTCCCCGAGGGATAAATTCCGGATCGAGTGTTATGTGAGCTCCTCGTTACTTAAAAATCGCCTCATCCGGCCCGGCGACATTCTGCATCCAGACCACATCGCAAGTTTCCCTCCACAACAACTTACCAAGTTCGGTTTGAACGGAGGCTCCAAACGTCTGGCTTCCAATGCGTGCCAATCAATTGGCTGGAAGAAGGAATGATCCTGGATATCTCCATGGGGCGAGAACCGGTGTCCAAGTCTTTTGTTTGCATCTTTTTCCAAAAACTACAACAACAACCACGTTTCCTTTAATCAACGCTCATGCTCCAATGGATTGAGCCACCGACCTGAATCAGCACAGATCCAGCTTCAGCGCTCAAAAATCTTGGAATGACGGGTTTCTCGTTGCAAATGGACCAAAACAGCTCATCCTCATCGCCGCCACTGAACGGTGACTGTCCCAGCAACATTTCGTACAGGAGGACTCCAAACGACCACCAATCCACACATTGGTTGTAGTGTTGACCTTTGATTATCTGAAGATAACGGAAAACGGGGTTTTTAAATGAGCATGCTTTTCCTTATTTAGAGTTCAGAGTGGTGAAAACTTTTGCGCTTTTTAGTTCAGCATTTTTTGGTCGCTTCAACAAATCAAGCTTTATGAAGGTTGGAACCCACAAAAAATTATGAGCAAATCAAGACCAAGACCAAGATTTGCATGGCCCTGTTCTTGCAACCAAAGTCTTGCAGGTATTACACTTTTTGATTTCACTTACAGCGTTAAATTTAATTAAATAAATGAAAAAATTAACAATAATAATAATATTATTAAAAGATTTCTTTTACAAACTTCTTTTTGGGTATTTTGCTGTAATGTATGTAATGTATGTAATGCGACCGTCATTATGGATTATAATATCTATGATCAAAAAATTAATGAACTTTTGAACAGAACGTTTTGAAAGACAAATTTATAACACTTTTAAAAAAATTTAAACATCAATTCACAGATTACGTTAGATCAAAATTAGCACCACATTTTTACGGAGTTCCAAAAATTCATGAAGTTAATATTCCTTTACGACCAATAGTTAGTAGTATAAATTCACCTACACATCCCTTTTAAACATTTTAAATCCCCTAATAAATAACACAACTTCCTATATTAAAAATTCTCAACATTTTTTACAAAAATTATCAGACATAGACATAAATCCAAACCATATTCTAGTAAGTTTTGATGTTGTTAGTCTAACGTTCCTGTTGATAAAACTTTAAATATCATCAAACAAAAATTACAAAATGACACCAATCTTAAAGAACGCACACAACTAAGCATTAACACCATTATTGAACTTTTAACAATATGTGTAAAGTCAACTTACTTTCAATACAATGACAATTTTTATCAACAAAATTTTGGAATAGCTATGGGGTCACCACTATCCCCATTTTTTAGTAATTTATTTATGGAAAATTTTGAATCAACTTTCATTAATAATTACAAATTTAAACCAATAATTT